GGGCGCAGTGGCTCATGCCTGTGATAAGTAATCATGATGTCAGCAGCTTTCTGTTGGGTCTCTTTGCTTCCAGCCTCTCCTTGCCCAATCTTCCCTCCCTGAAACACAGCTCTCCCCATGTGCCAGTGGAATCTTGAATAAATTGGGTCATCTCTTTGGGTCTGTTGTTTCTCTGTAAAGTGAGTAAAAAAACAAAACTCAATAGTTTTTTAGACTTCTAGAATGTTAAAGTGTTTCCCACGTCACTGTCCTATGCCCAAGACTTCAGCGGCTTCCCATGAACTACAGCCTAAGGTCTAAACTCCTAGACTAGCATTCAAGGCTTGGCTCTCATCTGGTGGTTTTAACCTTCACTGTCTTATGGGACTCTATTAGGAGTGACTTTTTCCTGCTTACATCCTTTGCTCTTGGCTATTTTTCAGATTCCCTCAATAACTATAAACTTAACTATTTGCCATTTTCTTTCTTTGTATCCAAATCCTACAACCTCTATAAAATCTCCCCCTTACCCTATCAGGGTAAGTCAGTGACAACTTTTTCTCTCTTGGTAATGGTTCATATCATGGGTGCAATTCACTAAACATTCTCCCTATTATTATTTTGGGTGGTGAATATATTTGATTAACACTTTTTATTTAGCATGGGGAGGTAGAAGGTCAGTGATCTGTCATCTGAGGTAGCAAATTCTCACTCTTGGAATGAGCAAGAGGCTAAACCCCTTGCAAGGGTTTCTGGAGAGGAAATTGGTCCACATATCTATAATTTAAATAGAGACAGGGTCTTGCTTGTTGCTTAGGCTGAAGTGCAGTGGCTATTCACAGGCGTATATTGCAACTGATCACCATGAGAGTTTTGGCCTGCTCTGTCTCTGACTTGGGCCACTTCACCCTTCTTTTTTTTGAGTCAGAATCTCACTCTGTTGTCCAGGCTGGAGTGCAGTGGCACACTCATGGCCACCACAGCCTCGACCTGTTGGGCTCAGGCGATCCTTCTGCTTCAGCCTTCCAAGTAGGTAGAACTACATGCATGTACCACCATTCCCAGCTAATGTTTTTGCTTTATTGTAGAGACGAGGTCTCACCATGTTGCCGAAGCTGGTCCCAAACTCCTGGGCTCAGGCAGTTCTCTTGCCTCTGCCTCCCAAAGTGTTGGATTACAAGTGTGAGCCCAGCCTGGTTCATCCCTCTTTAGGCAACCTGGTGGGGAGGTCACCATATTGACACTGAATTTAGTATGGACACCCTAACGGCATAGTACACTACAGCCCAGAACTGATTCTCCTGCCTCTGCCATCATAGTAGCTGGGAGTACAGGGACATATCACTGTGCCCAGCTAGCTTTGAATTCATACAGGTTTCTGACTTGGTCTGGAGACACATTTACGTTTGGAGAGTCATGTGCAGAGTTGAGAAAGGAAGGCTAGGGTGGATCGTGTAATCAGCGTGGCTTCTAGGAAGAGATGAGACTGTCCTGTCTTCCAGTGCCTGTCCCCCTTGGCCAGTGTCTCCTCGGACAAGACTCTTCCCCTAATGATGCTTAAATAATTCAGAAAAACCTGTATCGAGCCCATGGGTTCAAGACCAGCCTGGGCAACTTGACAAGACCTTATCACTACAATAAATCAAAAAGTCACCAGGGATGGTGGCCTGTGCCTGTAGTTCCAGCTACTTGGAAGGCTGAGGTGGAAGGATCGCCTAAGCCCAGCAGGTTGAGGCTGCAGTGGCTGTATGTCACTGCACTCCAGTTTGGGTGACAGAGTGAGACTTCAACTCAAAAAAAACAAAAAAAGAGAGAGAATGAGACCAGGTGCAGTGGCTCATGCCTGTAATCCTAGCACTTTGGGAGGCAGAGATAGGAGGACTGTTTGAGCTCAGGTCTTTGAGACCAGTTTAGGCAACATAGTAAGATCTCATCTCTACAAAAAAAAAAAAAATCAAGAAATTGGCTGGACGCTGTGGCTCACGTCTGTTATCCCAACACTTTGGGAGGCGGAGGTGAAAGGATTTCCTGAGTCTAGGGGTTTGAGACCAGCCTGGGCAACTTGGTGAGATCATGTCTCTACAATTAAAACAAATTAGCCAGGCATGGTGGCACGTGCCTGTGGTTCCAGCTACTTGAAAGGCTAAGGTGGAAGGATCTTCTGAGCCCAGTAGGTTGAGGCTGCAGTGGCCATGAGTGTGCCACTGTGCTCCAGTCTGGATGACAGAGAGAGACTCTGACTAAAAAAATAAAAATAAATTTAAAAAATTGTTGGATGTGAGGGTGCAGGCCTGTAGCCCCAGCTACTCTGGTGGCTAAGGTGGGAGGAGGATCGCTGGAGCCCAGGAGTTTAAGGCTGTGGCGAGCTATGATTGTGCCACTGCACTCCAGCCTGGGTGATAGAGTAGACCCTGACTCAAAAAAAAAAAAAAAAAAGCTATATAAATGCAGTTAAACAGTATGTAACTTTTGTGATTTTCTTTTTTCAGTCAGCATAATTCCCTTGAAATCTATCCAAGTGGTTGCATGCGTGAATAGCTTGTTCTTTTGTGTTTCATGGTGTGGATGTCCCATAGTTTATTTAGCCATTTGCATGATGAAAGACATTTGGGTTGTTTCCATTTTTGGTTATTACAAATAAAGCTGCTATGAACATTTGTGCACAGGTTTTTGTGTGAACAGAACATATGTTTTCATTTCTGTTGGACAAATGCCTAAGAGTACAATTGCTGGGTCATATGGTAAGCACACGTTTAGTTTTACAAGAAACTGTCAAACATTTTCAGAGTGGCTGTATAGTTTTACATTCCCACCAGTAATGTGGATCATTTCTTACCTCCTTTGTGGCATTTGGTGCATCATCATTTTTCATTTTACCATTCTGATAAGCATGTAGCAGTATCTCATTGTGGTTTTCTTCTGCATTTCCCTGATGGCTAATAATGTTGAACATTTTTTCATGTGCTTTCTTGCCATCTGTATATCCTCTTAGGTGAAATCTCTATTCTTGCCTTTTGCCCATTTTCTAACTGGATTTTTAAAAACTGTTGAGTTTTGAAAGTTCTTCATATAACCTGAGACCTTTATCAGATACGTGGTTTGAATGACCAGGTGCAGTGTGGCTCACATCTATAATCCCAAGGGAGGCTGAGGCAGGAGGACTGCTTGAGTACAGAAGTTTGAGACTAGCCTGGGTAAAACAGCAAGACCTCGTCTCTAAAAATATATATATATATGTTTATATATTATATGTAGATATAACAGATATGTAGTTTGCAAATGTTTTCTTACACTCTAGCTTTTTGTCCTCTTCAGCAAAAGTTTTAAATTTTAATAAGGCCCAACTCATTAACTTTTTCCAATTATAGATTATGCTTTTTTTTTTTTTTTTAGTTGGAGTCTCATTCTGTCACCCAGACTGGAGTGCAGTGGCCCGCTCCTGGCCACCACAGCCTTGACCTGCTGGTCTCTGGTGATCCTTCCGCCTCAGCCTTCCAAGTAGCCAGAACTACAGGCACGCGCTACCATGCCCGACTAATTTTTGATTTATTGTGGAGATGAGGTCTCGCCAAGTTGCCCAGGTGGGTCTTGAACCCCAGAGGCTCGGGCAATCCATTCGCCTTGGCCTCCCAAAGTGCTGGGATTACAGGTTGAGCCACCGAGCTCGGCTATAGATTGTGCTTTTGATGTCAAGTCTAAAAATTCTTTGTCCAGTTGAAGATTTTTTGTTTGTTTTTTGAGTCAGAGTCTCACTCTGTCGCCCAGGATGGAGTGCAGTGGCACCTTTACGGCCACTGCAGCCACGACCTGCTGGGTGCTGGAGATCCTTGTCTCAGCCTTCCAAGTAGCTGGAGTCACAGGTGCACACCACTACACTCAGCTAATTTCTTGATTTATTATAGAGACAAGGTCTCGCCATGTTGCTCAGGCTGGTCTTGAACCCCTGAGCTCAGGCAATCCTTTTGCCTCTGCCTCTAGAAGTGTTGGGATTACAGGCGTGAGCCACCACACCCAGCTGAGGATTTTTTTTTTTACAATGGTTCCCACCCCCCAATGGTTTATAGTTTTACATTTTACATTCACATCTATGATCCATTTTGAGTGAATTTGGGGTATGGTGTGAGGTTTGGTGGAGATTCATTTTTGGGGTCTGTATTTGTCCAGTTACTCCAGCAACATTTGTTGAAAGGCCTCCTGATTCCACTTTGGTATCCATTCCTCTTACAGCAGTTGGAATAATGTTTTTAAAATGTGGGTGAGATACTGTCATACCTATTCAAATTCTCCCTTGGCATCCCACCACAACGTCATCTGGTTCCATTCCATCCTTCTTTTGGACACTCGATGCCCACTGTAACACTCGGCCCTCGGATCATCACTGGGCTGCTCCTCACTTCACGCGGGTCTCGGCCATGATCACTTCCTTACGGAGCCGCCCCCCCACCCCTCCCACTCTTCAACGCACGCGCCTCATGCGATATATCACACCATGCTTATTTATGCATTGCGTACCTCTCTCCCAACCCTATCAGAAGCTCCCGACAGCATGCTGTTCTATCCCCAGAGCCAAGAATAATGCCTGGCACACAGTAGGTGCTCAATAAATAACCGATGGCTTGGCAGGCTAGAAGAAACGCATACACACAAAGCGGGAGCGACAAGTCTACTTCTGGGCCAGGCGCTTCTTTGGACTTCATGCAAAGCGTGAGCGCCACCTCCCGGGAAACCAATTTGCTTGCGTACGAAGGAAGTGAGTCACAGAACCTTAGGGAAAAAAAGAAAACAAAACAAAACAAAAAGCAGTCGGCCGGAAAAGCCTGAAAAAACGAGTGCCGGAAGTTAATGCTCAGAAGGTTGCGCCCTAGAATAATTTCCTACTCACAACAGGAAGCGTGGGAGAGCGGTGTTCGGCAAACTGGTCCCTCCCGCCGTCGATCTGCGCAGAAGCGTTCTGTGCGTGCGGGTGCTGGGAACCACGTGGGGCCCTGGCGCGTTTCCGGTCGGTGCCGGTAGTTGTAACCATAGTTGATGCCCAAGCGACTTGGAGCGGTGAGAGGCGCATCAGGAAAGAAGGAAAGAGAGGATTGGGGTTGGGGGAGAGGGCTGCTGAGGCGTGCCAGCGAAGAAGTGAGTTTTCTGGTGGGAAGTGTCGCGGGGACGGCACGGGGGGAAGGGCGGGGCGCGTGCAGACAGGTGCGGTCTTGCCAGGCGCGCCCCACGCCACGTGGACCCGTCTTTGTCGGCGGCGGCCTTTCCCGTCAGGCCGCGACCACAGCGGCTGTGCCTCGTTGGTTTCTGTCGCGTCCAGTGCTGGTACGGAGTTGGCGCTTAGTAAAGGGCTCGCTGAAGGAATGATGGGGGTGTGTGTGTGTCAGGGATCGGGGGGTTACTGGTGTTTTAGCCCCATTTTCTCCCGCGGAGCCCAGGCTTGTCCCGTGCTCCGTCGGGAATTCTGCAGCCAGTCTTGGGACTTTGTCTCGTTCTTGGAAGGGCAGGGTGATGTCGTTTATGGCATTTTCTTGGCTCTTATTGATCGCTTGGCCCTGTGGCCACAGACAGATACAGGAGTAAACCAGCCCCGTATGCAGGCGGCAGACCAGTGGGGAGGCAGACACCAACAGAAAATTCGACCACAACGTCAAGGTGCTATAATGAGAGGGCAACTCAAGTTCAGGAAGGTAGGCCAGGAAGTGATGCCGCCTTAGGAATTGCCTCCTGGAGGGGGCCCCTCCTTTCTCAGTGGCTGTAGTTCTCCCACAATGCATTGTTTATTGACTAGTCAGAGTATTTGTTCCTTCTTTTTTTTTTGAGTATGAGTCTCACTCTGTCGCCCAGACTGGAGTGCAGTGGCCGCTCCCGGCCACCGCAGCCTCGACTTACTGGGCTCCGGCGATCCTTCCGCCTCAGCCTTCCGAGTAGCTGGAACTACAGGCGCGCGCTGCCACGCCCTGCTAATTTTTGATTTATTGTAGAGATGAGGTCTCGCCAAGTTGCCCATCGGGTCTCTAACCCGCAGGCTCAGGCAATCCACTCACCTCAGCCTCCCAAAGGTGCGGGATTACAGGCTGAGCCACCGAGCCCGGCTTATTTGTTACTTCTTAAAGTGTAGCGTAAATTACATAGGGCTGGGAGATGTGGATTTTGGCCCTCATTCTGTTGCTCTGGTCCTGTTTCCTCTCTTATGAAACGAAGGGGTTTGTAATGACATATTCGCTAAAATCTCTTCCAGTTCTAATACCAGGGCTGCGCGTCATACTGCTGTTTCATACATCTGTTTCATACAGATGTCACTTTCACGTTAGTAAGACTACGCATTAGTGTAGCTTTCCCTAGCCTGTATTATTGAGAAAGATAGTGTCTTATTTTTACATCCCCTATCTTAGTTCTGCCACATTATTGGATACACAGTAGATGCTTCATAGAAGCTTATGAAATCAAATGGGGTAGAAATTACAGCTTCTGCTTTGGGACCCATCTGCACTTGGGATATTAATTCATAGGTGAGAGGACTGGGGAGGAACTGGCTTCTTACCAAGGGAAGATGTGGAGTTGACGTGACAGATTCAAACCAGCTGTAGGAGATAAACGGCTTGAGCTTTCAGCGCTCTTTCATTCTCACCTGCCCAACCCCAGGACCATGGCCGACTGTGAGCGCACCTTCATTGCCATCAAGCCAGATGGCGTCCAGCGGGGTCTGGTGGGAGAGATTATCAAGCGTTTTGAGCAGAAAGGGTTCCGGCTAGTTGGTTTGAAATTCTTGCAGGTAAGTAGACTTCATTTTCCTGTTTTGATTCCTTCGTAGTATAGGGGAACACTGTAGATTAACCTGTCTTTCTCCTCCTCTTTTATTTAGACTTCTCCATGGTAGAGTGAACACAGATCTCTTGGAACAGAGCAAATTATCTGGAAGTTTTGAAAATAGTCTCGGGCTGGATGAAGTGGCTCATGCCTGTAATCCCAGCACTTTGGGAGGCCAGGGCGGGGGGACTGTATGAGACCAATCTGAACAAGAAGGATCCTGTCTGTCTTTCTTTTTTTTAATTTGGGGTCTCACTCTGTTGCCCGGCTGGAGTGCAGTGGCACTTCCTGAGCTCAGGCACTCCTTCTTCCTCAGCACCCCAAGTAACTGGGACTAGAGGTGCATGCCACATGTCTGGCTTATTTTTATTTTTTTTTTATAGAGACGAGGTCTTGCTATGTTACCTAGGTTGGTCCCGAACTTCTGGGCTCAAGTAATCCTCCCACCTTGGCCTCCCAAAGTGCTGGGATTGTTGGACGCAGTGGCTCATGCCTGTAATCCCAGCACTTTGGGAGACCGAGGCAAGAGATTGCCTGAGTCCAGGGGCTTGAGACCATTCTGGGCAACTTCGTGAGACCTTGACCCTACAGTAAATCATAAAATTAGCTGGGTGTGGTGGCGCATGCCTGTAGTTCCAGCTACTTGGAAGGCTGAGGCAGAAAGATCATCTGAGCCCAGCGGGTTGAGTCTGCAGTGACTGTGAGTGTGCCACTACAGTCCAGCCTGGACCACAGAGTGAGACTCTGACTAAAAAAATAAAAAATAAAGTTCTGGGATTATAAGTGTGAGCCACTGTGCCCAGCCTGAGGCCCCCATCTTTATTTTCAAAAAAAGAAGGAAAAGAGCCCCTCTTTTCCCTTAGTGATACAGAGTTCCACATTTTACTGCACCTCTGTAATTTCTGACTCAGAGCTCTGGGCATGTTTGAGCTTCTGGTCTTGAGCTTTCTCAGCAGATAGTTGTAGAGAGCTTCCCCCGCTTTCAGGCAGGTTGTTTTTCAGCAAGAAAACCTTTCCAGCATCACGTACTACCCAATTAGCATCTAGCATATATTAGGCACCATAGGAACTTGTGGGGGAAAATGGTGTTGCCTTTGGGGAGTCTCTCCTGAAACAGCAGAGCAGACATTTCTACAAGGCACTGACACAGCGGTCTTTCCACAAACGCAAAGGATTCATCACCAGGAACCTTCTTAATTTGAGAGATAAAATTTCAAATTCTCAAATCAAATAAATTAGGGTATGGTAGCCAGGCTCGGTGGCTCAGCCTGTAATCCCGTGCCTTTGGGAGGCTGAGCCTGTGGGTTCGAGACCCACCGGGGTAGCGAGACCTCATCTCGACAATAAATAAAAAAATCAACCGGGTGTGGTAGCGCGTGCCTGTAATCCCAGCTACTTGGAAGGCTGAGGCGGAAGGATTGCCAGAGCCTAGCAGGTCGAGGCTGGGTGGCCGGGAGCGGCCACCGCACTCCAGTCTGGGCGACAGAGTAAGACTCCAACTCAAAAAAATAAAAAATAAAAAAATAAATTAGGGTATAGTATTTTATCCCATTAAGGACCCCTCCTTTTTTTTTTGAGCTGGAGTCTCACTCTGTTGCCCAGGCTGGAGGGCACTGAAGCCCGGCTCAAGCAGTCCTTCCACCTCAGCCTTCCAGTTAGCTGGAATCACAGGTGTATGCTACCACGCTTGGCTAATTTTTTGATTTATTGTAGAGATAAAGTCTCACCAAGTTGCCTAGGCTGGTCTCGAACTTGTGGGCTCAGACAATCCTCTCACCTCAGCCTCCAAACTACTGGGATTGCAGGCTTAAGCCACTGCACCTGGCTTTTTTTTTTTTTTTGAGTTGGAGTCCCACCCAACTGGAGTACAGTGGCATGCTTATGGCCACTGCAGCTTCAACCTGCTGAACTCAGGCGATCTTTCCTCCTCAGCCTTCCAAGTAGCTGGAATTACAGGCATGCGCCACCATACCCAGCTAATTTTTGATTTATTGTAGAGATGAGGTCTCACCAAGTTGTCCAGGCTAGTCTTGAACCCGTGGGCTCATGCAATCCTCTCACTGCAACCTCCCAAAGTGCTGGGATTATAGGCATGCGTCACTGCGCCTGGTCGCTATATTTTTATTTTTATTGATTTATCTTTGAGTTGGAGTCTCACTCTGACGCCATTGCTGGAACGCAGGGGCAAGCTCGTGGCCACTGCAGCCTCGACCTGTTGGACTCATGCGATCTTTCTGCCTCAGCCTTCTGAGTAGCTGGAACTACAGGCGTGCACCACCACACTCGGCTAATTTTTTGATTTATTGTAGAGATGAGGTCTTGCCAAGTTGCCTGGGTTGGTTTTTTTGCTTTTGTTTTTTGTTTTTTGTTTTTTTTGAGTAGGAGTCTCACTCTTTCGCCCAGGCTGGAGTGCAGTGGCACGCTCCCGGCCACCGCAGCCTTGACCTGCTGGGCTCAGGTGATCCTTTTGCCTTAGCCTTCCAAGTAATTGGATCCACAGGAATGTGCCACCATGCCTGGCTAATTTTTTGATTTATTGTAGAGACGGGGTCTCGCCAAGCTGTCCAGGCTGGTCTCAAACCTGTGGTCTCAGACAATCTCCTCACCTCGGTCTCTCATGTAGCTGGAACTACAGGCACGTGCCACCACGCCCAGCTAATTTTTAATTTTTCTGTAGAGACAAGGCCAAGTTGTCTAGGCTGGTCTTGACCCCCTGGGCTTAGGCAATCCTCTTGCGTTGGCCTCCCAAAGTGCTGGGATTATAGTCTTGAGCCACTAAACCTGGCCTGAATTCTGTTTTTAAATTTTTTCTTGACTGGGTTCAGTGGCTCAGCCTGTAATCCCAGCACTTTGGGAGGCCGAGGCGAGTGGATTGCCTGAGCCCTCGGGTTTGAGACCCACTTGGGCAACTTTGTGAGACCTCATCTCTACAATAAATCAAAAGTTAGTTGGTGTGGTAGCGTGCGCCTATAGTTCTGGCTACTTGGAAGACTGAGGCGGAAGGATCACCGGAGCCCAGCAAGTCGAGGTTGTGTTGGCCGCGAGTGTGCCACTACACACCAGTCTGGGCGACAGAGTGAGACTCCAACTAAAAAAAAAAAAAAATTTTTTTTTCTTTTAGAGAAGGTCTTGCTCTGTCACCCAGGCTGGAGTGCAGTAGCATAATCATACCTTACTGCAGCCTCAAACTTCTGGGCTTGTGTGAGCTTCCTACCTGAACCTCCCAAGTTGCCAGGACTACAGGCTCATGCCACCATGCCTGGCTCTTTTTTTTTTCAATTTTTTTGTAGAAACGAGGTCTTGCTAGGCTGGTCTCAAACTCTTGGCCTCCAGTGATCCTCCTGCCCTGGCTTCCCAAAGTGCTGGTATTACAGACATTTTCTTTTTGACGCTGAGTTTCCCATCTAGGATGTCTGGGTTTGGCGAGGAACGAAAGGAGTGATCGCTGCCATGACTCTCAAGTGCAGTTTAAGTCTGGCGTGGATGTGGGAAGTAAGGGGTTCTTCCTTGAGGTTCCTCCCCAGAAAAGTCTGTGATCTGTTTTGCAACCTAAAGATAATTGGAACCAATTAATAGAATTAAAAGAGCATTCTGGCCAGGCTCAGTCTGTAATCCCAGCACTTTGGGAGACTGAGGCGAGTGAATTGCCTGAGCCTGCGGGTTCGAGACCAGCCCATGCAACTTAATGAGACCTCCTCTCTACAATTAAAAAAAAAAAAAATTAGCCGTAAAGTTCCCGCTACTTGGAAGGCTGAGGCAGAAGGATCACTGGAGCCCAGCCGGTCGTCGCTGGGGTGGCTGTGAATGTGCCACTGTACTCCAGCCTGGGTGATAGAGTGCGACTCAAAAAGAACTCAAAAAAAAAAAACCGTTCTCAGAGCCAGGTACAGTGACTCATGTTTATTGCACCAGTGACTCAGGAGGCTAAAGCAAGAAGATCACTTGAGGCCTGGAGTTCAAACCAGCCTGGCAACATAGTGAGGCCTCGTTTCTAAAATTAAAAACAAAAAACAAAAAACTTAGCCAGGTGTGATGGTGTGTGCCTGTGGTCCCCAGCTACTCAGTGGAAGGATCGCTTGAGCTTAGGAGTTAGAGGCTGCCTTGAGCTATGATCGTGCCACTGTATTCCAGCCTGGGTGACAGGATAAGACAGGATAAAAAAACAAACAACAAAAGGATGAGTATTCTGGTCAGGTCAGTGTGTGTTAGGACCTTACCACTATGAAAGTCTTGTACTGCCGGGCTCGGTGGCTCAGCCTGTAATCCCGCGCCTTTGGGAGGCTGAGGTGAGTGGATTGCCTGAGCCCGCGGGTTCGAGACCCGCCTGGGCAGCGAGACCTCATCTCTACAATAAATCAAAAAATCAGCCGGGCGTGGTGGCGCATGCCTGTAATTCCGGCTACTTGGAAGGCTGAGGTGGAAGGATTGCCAGAGCCCAGCAGGTCGAGGCTGCGGTAGCCGGGAGCGGCCACTGCACTCCAATCTGGGCGACAGGTGAGACTCCAAGTCAAAAAAAAAAAAGAAAGTCTTACACTTGGATAGGAAAGGACAGGGTAAAGGGTGGATCCCGACCTTTGAATGATGATGTGGCCCTATAATTTTGCTTTGGCAAGCGATGGTCAACCAGTGGCTGAATGATAGAATGTTCTGGATGTCCTTTTGGCTTATCTCCATATTTGCATGTATCACTACAAGCGTGCCCTTACAGTGCAGTACCACAGACCTGAGAACTAATGGCACCCGTCAGACCCTTAACAAGAGGACCCACAAGGGCCGAGGATGAACATGGCCACGTTGAGCTGAAACTGCTGAGCAGATGGCTTGTTCTCTCGCTTGTTTGATTTGATCCCACATACCAGCCTTGAAATGTGAGACATTCTGATTCATTTTTTAGCAGAATTATTTCTTCCTACATGTTAGGTACTTTGGTGATTTGCAGATAGTTGTGGGCATTGCATGGTCACCTTGCCGGGCCTTTATCTTTTGCCTCGGCGTGAAGTCTCCCCAGGGATAGCCCAGTATAGTTGACTGCTCATCACATGCTGAGACCGCCTTCCTCTCATCCTGCTAAAATTTAGTTGGAATTTGCTCTGGGAATGCAAATTAGTTTTCCTGTCCAAAATGAGATGGCTGGACTTGGTTATGTTTTGTGGCTTTATCCTGATCAAATAAGGCCAGTGGAGGAGGCAGTTGGTACAAAACTGTAGAAGCAGTTTTAGTCCCTGTCACTGCTCCCCTGTGGAGCTGAGAGTGCATGTTTTATTTTATTTCTTTATTTATTTATTTTGAGTTGGATTTTCTGTTGCCCAGGCTGGAGTGCAGTGGCATATTCATGGCCACCATAGGCTCAGTCTGCTGAGCTCAGGCAATCCTTCCACCTCAGCCTTCTAAGTAACTGGAACCATCACAGGTGTGCGCCACCATGCCCAGCTGGTTTTTTGATTTATTGTAGAGCCAAGATCTCATCATGTTGCTCAGGCTGGTCTCAAACTCCCGAGCTTGGGTAATCCTCTTGCCTCTGCCTCCCAAAGTGCTGGGATTACAGGCATGAGCTACCATGCACGGCTGAGAGTACATGTTTTAAATAACAGAATGGTGCCGACTGTGGTTACTCATGCCTGTAATCCCAGCATTCTGGGAGGTGGAGGTGAAAGGATTGCCTGAGCCCAGGGGTTCGAGACCAGCCTGGGCAACTTGGCGAGATCCTGCCTCTACAGTAAATCAAAAAGTTAGCTG